ATTAGAAATTAAGCTAATATTATTTATTATTTTACTTTTATTTTACCTACTCATATTATTAAGCATGATAAATAAATAAATAAATGTAAAATTAAAGTAATTAGTTAAAAAATATATATAATTTTTTTTTTTTTAATATGCAATGACAAAATAATAAGATTACATTTAATATTTATGACTAGTGTTATATAAAATATATATAAAAAACACTGAATCTTGTGTTGAAATGACTGACTTTCTTGTTTGGAAGTTTCTTCCTGGATGTGCTCTGTGGAATCCCTCTCTAGCACCTCCTGCTGGTGGACTGCATGTAACAATCCATGCAGCTGCTCGCTCATCACATCCATGAGAGCCTGGGACACTTCCAATGGCAAGGCCTCTTCACAGCAACTGGAGAAACACACACACAGTTTTCTTTAACTGCAGCTGTACAACCTAGATTGTCTGCAGCCAGGTACTGTTGCTGTTATTGGCAGAGGGGATGTTTGTTGATACCAAAACATCCATATGAAATTGTGTTTTGGAGTTTCTTTACTATGCAAAACTGTTACATTAAAGCAATATTATGATGTAGCAAGAAGAATGCTTTCAGTTTTCAAAATGTGAGGTTTTAAGAGCATATCATGGGAGGCGTTTTCTCGTTCTGTATTTAATTATCAAGTTTATAATCTCACCTGGCCGCTATGGCGAATATCTGCAGGAGTCTGGCAGCGGCCAGCTTCACCGCCCCACCGAGCTGCATGTGACCGGACATGGAGGCGGCCAGCCAGCGCTGGTTCACCAGCACGCAGGCATTATCAGTCAGTGTGGACAAGATCTCCAGGACGCCACATTTAATAATCCCAGCACACAGGTGTTATCAGTCAGAGTGGACAAGATCTCCAGAATGCCACATTTAATTATCACCACCAGATCCACTGGCTGATAGTGGAAGTTCAGAGCGAAGACTGTAGCTAACAGCAGGTGCTGATAAGAGCCTGAAATGAGACAAATCTATGTTAAATCACTACTTAATCAAACTGGCATATTATTAGAGTACTTGGACTATGCCAAACTATAAAATATATATCACAAGCAATATCACAAATTAATGTCCATTTAAATTAGTGGGTAATGATAATATTACAGAAAAAAAAATCAGTTTTAAATGGTAAAATAAAAATAAAATTTAATTAAAAGATAAAATAAACATCACTAATAATACTATTTCCCCTTGTTTATCCAACTAAGATATGAAAAGTGCATGCGCATAGTACAGTAGGCATTGTATAAAGTCTATCATTTTATTAACATTAAAATGCACTGTAAAGTACAAAATTGTTAAATTATATGACTTATTATTTACCCTGTTTTATATTAGCTGCTCATTATTAATAAAAAATTAAATAATAATAAAGTCAAATTATATTAGTAAAACATTTCAGTTATAAAATATTCTTTTTAAATGTAAATGTCAGTACTATTTTCATCATTTGTATTATGTGCATTTACATAATTAATATAAAAAGTATTTACAAAAAACTAAAAATGGCCCAAAAAAATAAACATTTATAAAAAAAATAATACTTTTTTTGTGCATTTAGACAAATGCTACATGCTCGAGTAAGAAGCGTTACCCACCAGCCTGTTCTCTCTCTAGCGCCACTTTCTGTCTGAGCACACGCACCAGTTGCTGGTACAGCGTGTGAGCTGCAGACTGTAACTCCCTCTGAACACCGATAGGAGCCGACTGAGTCCCAGCCTAGACACAAACCAACATTTCAAACATCATACTTCAATGAGAATACAGGCCTAATCTATAAGGGAGATGTTAAAGTCAAGAAAAAAAAAATCATGCATGAAATTTGGAAAAATTTGTTATTTGTATTTGAGGAAATGTCATTATCAGTGTGTATTACGGTGTAATGGTGAATCTTGTTGTTAGGTGCCGCTAGACTGCCGGTGATCGGGGCTCCCAGACCAAAGCAGCCAGAGAGGAACTGCAGCTGCACTGACTGCAAGAGGCCTGGAAAACGAGGAGGCGCCAGAGAGCTGACACTCTTTTCCTCCATCTCTGACAGGAAGGAGGAAATCTGACACAAGGCCTCCAAACGAACCTGGATGGAGGGTATGAAAACAACTGTGATGTCTCTACATCTAGTTATTGAAAGTAAAATGGATCTGCAATGGATTTCCCACCTGAGCTCTTTGGTGTTGCTGTGCCATGGCAATGGTGATGGCTTTGGGATCTACATGTGCACCTCCATCTTTGTCCACCAGAGAAGAGGTTCGAAGGAGGCTCCCACACAGGAAATGGAAGACCTGACCCAGGATGGGTGTGCCACCTCCACCCGGGCACAGCACAGTAGTGGGACTGATGCACTGTCGCAGTCGCTCCCAGGCATCTTTCATGATGCCCAAAGAACAGAGTGGAAGGCCTTGCAAGAAACAAGGCTGATTAGCTCAGAGGTGTGATATTTAAGCTAACTAAAACTGATGATTATAGTTTATGTGAAAGAAGAGAGAGACAAAAAATGCAATGCGAGTTATCAGACATGCGAGATCAGATTAGATGTGTGGGATCAGACGTGTGACATAAGACCTCAGAAATCAGATATCAAGCAGGTGTGAGATCAGACAGGTGAAATGTAAGAGATGAATTATTTGATATATGTGAATTCAGACATGTAAGATGTGAGAAATCAGAAATGAGAGATCATACATCACATCAGATACGTCAAAGATCTGACATGTGAGATCAGACTGGTAAAAGATAAGTTGCAACAAATCCAATATGTGTGAGATGAGATCAGATATGTAAGCTATTTGAAATCAGATGTGAGAATTCATACATGCAAGATCAAATATGTGAGATCAGTTATGTTAGATCAGACATGTGAGATGAAACACATGAGGAATTAGAAACAGAAGATCAGACAGTTGATATCAGACATGAAAAAACAGTTTCATCAAAGAACTGAACTGTGAGATCAGACAGGTAAAAAACAAATCAAAGATGCGAAATACCCACTATGTGTGAGATCAGATATTAAATATGTAAGATATGTGAGATCAGACGCAAGGAATCTTACAGATGAGATCAGTTAAGTTCAATGAGATGTGAGATGACACAATAAATATTAGAAACGTGAGATCAGACAGTTGATATCAGACATGTGAAAGATCAGATATGTTAAAGATCTGACATGCAATATCAGACAGGTTAAAGATCAAAGATGCAACAAATCCAGTATGTGTGAGATCAGATATGCAAGATATCTGAGATCAGATGTGAGAAATCATACGTGAGATCAGATATGTAAGAGATCAGTTTTGTTAGCCGAGACATATGAGATGACACATTAGACAATAGAAATGTGAGATGAGACAATTGATATCAGACGTGAAAAATCAGATTTGTTAAAGATCTGACATGCAATATCAGACAGTTAAAGATCAGAGATGCAACAAATCTACAGCGGGTAAAATAAGTATTGAACACGTCATCATTTTTCTCAGTAAATGTATTTCTAAAGGTGCTGTTGACATAAAATTTTCACCAGATGTCGTAACAACCCAAGCAATCCATACATATAAAGAAAACAAAACAAATAAGTTCAGAAATTAAGTTCTGTGTAATAAAGTGGAATGACACAGGGAATAAGTATTGAACACATGAAGAAAGGGAGGTGCAAAAAGGCAGGGAAAGTGAAGACACCAGCAGAAATCTATCAGTAATTAGAAAGCAATCCTGCCCCTTGTCAGTGGAAATTAATTTTAGTTGGTTTAGTCCCAACTGATGGCCTATAAAAAGGTGTCTTATTACCAACGTGTCACACAAGAAACATGTCATGATGGGTAAAAGCAAAGAGCTTTCTCAAGACCTTCGCAACCTTATTGTTGCAAAACATACTGATGACATTGGTTACAGAA